TAGACGTGCAAGCAAGGTGAAGTCCCACCAATTTGGACAAGCTGAGGTAGGACAAAATGGTGCACTGAGTAGAGCCTACAACCAAAGTGCGGTTAGAGGTCTTGAGGATGAGGTCTTTAGGGAAGGAACTCTAATGCTCAAGTTAGTAAGAGGTAAAAGGGTGACTGGCCAAGAAGGGTTGAGGAAGCAAGAGAGCAAGAAGGCAAGAGAGTTGAAGGGTTCCAGAGAGACCATACCTTGAAGGGAGATGCCTTAAATAGCCAAGTGTCGTAGTGAACTCGGTCACATACTCACATCCCTTGTGGCGTTCAAGGGAGGAGACTACAAACTGAGGTTTTCGGATGATCCTATGTTTCTTGGTGGGGATGCTTATTAGTGAAGTGGGGACATTGCATGCCATGCTCTTGTTCAAGGTTTTTGCCTACAAGTATGCCTGCCAACTCCGATGCATGATGTGTTGGCTTACTAATGCAGTCGAAGAGGTTGGGTGGCCCTGGAACACAACAATAGCCACATGGCAGCTCGACCAGCTACGGTATGACCCTAACACCAGTTCCCAGTTTCAAACTCGAGAAGAGAGGTGTTTTGCCGAGGTGAAGAAGATGAGTTATTGTCGTGTTCAATTGAGGAAGTTAGTACTTTTTTTGGGTTTGTCAAAGTGTGGTTGGATCAGATTAGGGAACCATAACGTCGGTTTGAAAAATTCAAAATTTGAACATTGATTGTATGGTCTGACGGTTGTGTCATTTTGTATTCCTGAGCTTACATGCATTCAAAGCGTAGAGATGGATCTGGATCATTGGATGGATTCACTCTTGACCATTGGATGATTCTATATATAAAGCAAGGGGCAAGCCATTTAATTTTGTCATTTGAGTGAGTGTTCCCTCCAGAGTTCGGGTGGTCCTCAGCTAGACTTCATCCTTGTCTGGTGCTTCTATGCACTCATTCTTTAGTAAGATGTCTTCGTCCTTGTTTTCCTCTTCTTTTACTTCTTTGATGTCTTTTGGTTTTAGTTACTCCAGCTCGAGGGATGAGTTCCAGTTGAGGCCTCAACATGAGGCCACTGGAGTCGTTCCTGATACTAACACCAATGAGGCCGAGGTTGAAGAGGAGGCGGAGTTCGGTAATGAGTCTGCTCTGCTGAGGCTGAGTGGGCCAAAGCTTAGGAGACTGAGGGGCCAAGGTCGAGGAAGAGATCGATCAAGCTGAAGTGGAAATTCTAGAGGAGGAGCCCGAGGTTCCCTTGAGGTTTGGGGAGTGCTTCGCCATGGATTCCTGTAAGTTAGTAGCCTTAAACATGCAAAGGTTCAGAAAGCATATGACATCCTACCTGAGTTTGAAGGCAGATTCACCTCGGCTTGACGAGCTCTGCATGTAGGAAGAGAGCTTGGTGGCCAGATTGAAGTTCCCCCTAGATAGAGGCCTAGTGATTGTATTGAGGTGGCACCACGTCCTTCCCGTCCAGTTGATGCCGAACTCCTTTGGGTATTTGGTTGGGCTCCTTTGTTTCTATACCATTCATGACTCCCCAAGATTTAGAAGGATACTTCTAGTGACACAAGTGGGGCATTGGAGAGCTTGGCCCTCCACGAGGCTATAGTGGCAAGTTTTCATTTTGTATCGATTATTTCTTTTAACTCCAAGAGCTCAGTTTGACGCCTTTCTTCTATAGGCTATTCATGTCGTCACACAACTAGCCAACCGTACATGCACCCTCTGCAGGTTTGCTGAGTAGAGGGAGGGGAGAACATAGCACTGAAGGCCGAGCTGGTTGAGGTGAAGAAGGCAGTGGAGGACAAGGAGGAAGAGCCGGAGAAGCTACAAATCTACCTCCACAATATGAAGGGGAAGATGAAGGAGGCTGAGGTGAGGATGGCTTGAGCAAAGGAAGAGGCTTTGGTCGAGTTCAAGTTGTTTGACAACTATAAGGCCAAATTGAATGACATCACCACTTACTCCTTCTATATGGTTTTCACACGCTATAAGAGGAGGATTGGGCGTCGTTCCTGGAGATCACCCACATGATAGAGGAGCTTGGCCATTGAAACTAAGGGGTGCCCAACGAGCGAGCCAAGGAGGGAAGAGTTGAGGCTATCGACCGAGTGGACACCTAGGAGCATTTTGATGACCCCTTGGCTAAGCAATAATAGCCTCCATGGTCCTTAGGCATTGTCTTCATCAGCCATTTTTGTTAGTTTCCTTGTATTGTTTCTCTTTTTTTTTTTTTTGTTCCACCTTGTACAACTTGTTTCTCTTTCAGTTCTTCATCTTCTTCCCCTAGTTTGAATTGCTGTCTAGAACGTGGCCTCGGTCTTCGAGTGATCAAGGTCTTTTCCTTAACACAATGAAGTCTTAATGGCTTCCTTGGGTTTGCTCTGAATTGTCAATTTAAAATGTAGCTTCGGTGTTTAGGTAGCCAAGGTCTTTAACTTAAATTGAGTTGTCCATTTGAAGCATGGCCTTGGTCTTTGGATGATCGATGTCTCGGATATTATTGCTTAAGTTATTTTCAAGTCAGGTTGGCCGAGGTAGTTCTGATCTCTCGTGATGATTGGGGTGCTTGATGGTGCCTGATTGCATAGGATCCAGATGGAGGTTCCTCAATGGGCTAGTCATAGTCTTTAGTCAGCTCCGCCTCGGTTTTAATCTAGGGAATTCATCATGGGTCCTTGACCCCATAGGTCCATCCAAATGCCTTGGGGTGGTCCTTATTGGACATCCTCTTTCCACGGGTGGCAGGGACATCGTTCCCATTGTGCCCAACCCATGATGGGCTAAGTGTTAGGCCTCGACTATTGCTAGTCGACCAGGTCGAGGCATACGATACTCTGTGTGTGTAGAAGTACCATGGAATGTGGTGCACGGTGTTTGCAATGTAGCATTGTGGTCTTCGTCATTTGTTCTCTTGTGCAAAAAAAAAGCTTTATTTCTTAATAGGGGATTACAAGGATTTTGGTCGCCATTCATCTTGGCGCCATTCACTAATAGTACATCCTTAAATTACCGGAGTTCCAACTTTGTGGTATCGAGTTGCCATCAAGGTCTTCCAACTCGTAAGAGCTTGGTCCCAATAATTTTCTAATTTTGTATAGTCCTTCCCAATTTGATCCAAGCTTGCCTATGCCGAGCTCTAACACAATAACTTTGTAGAGGATGAGCTCTCTTGCCTTAAACTGCTTGTGGTGGACCTGAGCATCATAACATTTGTTCATTCATTGCTGGTATGCCACCATTTTGAGCTATGCTCAATCTCTAGCTTCTACTAGGAGGTCAAACTCTACTTGGAGGTCCTCGTTGTAGATCTCGGCCCAGAGTGTAGGGGATCTAATTTTCACTAGGATCACTACTTATGCTTTGAATGCAAGATTGAGTCCTTCTAATCGCTATCTTTGGTGTGGTCTGGTAGGCTCAACGGATGATAGGGACCTCTTCTACCCACCTGCCTTTAGCTCTGTTCATTCGTTTCTTCAAACTATGTAGTAGGGTGCAACTGCGGTGGTGCTTTTGAGCTTGTCACATTACTCCTCGAACCTTTTGTTTGTGAATTGAGTGCCATTGTTGGTGATCAACACCTTGGGAATGCTAAAGCAGTAGATGATGGATCTCCACAAGAAACCTTGGGCATTCTATGCTATGATGTGTGATAAGGGCTTGACTTTGACCCACTTGGTAAAGTATCCCATAACTATGATGAGGAATTTCTTCTGCCTGACTATAGGAGGGAAAGCACCAAGGATGTCCATGCCCCATTAAGTAAAAGGACAAGGAATGTTGATCGGTGTCAAGGGAACCCTTGGTCCATGGTGTAGATTAGAGAGTTCTTTTAGTGGTCGACTGGTCGTACATTTGCAGGAGTTATGCAACATCTTGCTTCATGATCAACCAAAAGTACCCTTGTTGGAGAGCTTTGCATGTGAGCGTCCAAGCACCATGGTGGTCATTATAGATTCCTTCATGAATTTCCCTCAGTATGTACTCAACTTCATCTAGGGGGAGACACTTCAAATAGGGAAAGATGTGCAATCTCTGGTAGAGGTACCCTTTGATGATGCAATACCAAGATGCTTTATGTGTTGGCTTCTTGACTTTG